CGTGGTCGGCAGCAGAGGAGGCGGGGCCCGGTGACGGAGGAGGCAGGCCCGGCGACGGAGGCGGGGCCCATCAGCGATCGTGCAGGAAGAGGAGGCGGACAGGTAAGGAGTGTGACCAGCCCACCTGAGGGTGACCCTGCAGAGCCCACCATAGAGAGTCCATTGTGGGCTCTGCAGGGTCACCCTCAGGTGGGCTGCGTGGGATCTAAAACGGGCTCTGCAAGGGGCATAACTACAAGTCACAGGGCCCCATACCGAATGTTGCTATGGGGCCCTGTGATTTCTAGTTACGCCCCTATGTAGAGATACTTGTTTATGATACCGTTCATGTTCAAAATGTGGTCGTGGGGTCCACACTGTATTGAGATGGTGTTGTGGATTCAATACCAGCGGGATTATATATATATATATATACATACATACACACTTTTATGCTGTTTAACAAACCTATTTTAATAAAGATTTATTTGAAATATAATGTGTCTTTCATGCCTAGAGTGACACCTTAAAAGCCCCATTCTTTCTTAGTTATATTAGTCTTGTGAACAGAAAGGATCGAAGAATTGGGCATGGTAAAAGGTAAAGATTGATGGACACGGGTCTTTCAGGTAACAGGTATACAAGTAACTGAAAGCGAGGACGTGTTTTAGGACAATGGCGATCTGGTTATTCTCCCAAACTCTAGAACATACGGCGCCAACAACTGCTGCCATGAAGACAGAGTATTCTGGTCATTAAACATGTTGAAGGTTTATCCAATCATAGAGGCCCTTCATGCAAATGCTGCCTGCCTGGGAACGCCCACTCCACCAGACTATCAAAACATCAAGGCATTTTGTCATTTGCATAACTCCTCCCAAGAGCCAGCCCACTGCTTGCATCAAGGCTGAGGGCTCTTGAGGGCAGTACTGAAGCAGAGTGCTTGTGATGTTTTCAGGAAGCTATGTACAGCACCCTGCCGCTCCCTCCCACCAGCCATGATCCGCTTGCATTGTAAAGAGAAGCACAAAGACCCAGTGATGATATAACTGGGTCTAAAATCAGATAGGTCATTGAAACTGAAAGGCTTATTGAGGTTGGGAAGGGACGAACCAGGGAAAGCCAAATATTATATATAGCATATTAAACTTCATCCTTAATGGCAGAGAACTGACACGCTTCGCAGACTGTCCTCACCTCCACGAAAAATGTTTTCAGCTCCGATAACCTCTCAAACAGATTGGGTGAAAAGGTGTCCAGCCGGGACAGGCGCCGCGCTGCATTCTCCGCGGTCATACGTGCTGGGTGCGGCTCCTGGCAGGACAAAAAGTAGCGTTGGGGACAAAATAGCACCTTACTGCAACTGACACCAATTATAATCCCATTCACATAAAAGACACAATAAAAAAAACGAATTCAGGAAATTTTTTTACAATAAAAGTTGTTTAAAAAGGATCCCAAAAGACAAAAACACAGAGGCTGCTTCCGGCAAGCTCCTAAAAGAGAACTATGGGCCAACCTTAGAGTTCCTTGTGTGGGCATCCAAAAGCCCTAAAACTGCTGGTGAGCTACAAATTCAGGTTACAGGAGCCCTCCCTATAGTGAAGTCTACGTAGACGAAGGGCGAGAATGGCAATGCTACATCACTGCTCCTAAACAACACTTCCTCAAGTTTCTCAATAAGACAACAGAATATTATTTAGAATGAAAGTATTCTCCCACTGCCCGCCTTGACCCAGGAGTCTCCACCCGATGCCACTCTGCCCTCCTCATCCTTTGCCTCCGCTGTGTGCTGCCTGCTATCTGCTACTGCAGCCAGGCTACCCCAAACCTTCACCTCAGAGGCGTGCCAAGGCAAGGTGACACCCGCTGCGGGTACCGGGTGACACCCCTCAGTTTCGTCATCGCACGTGTGTGATGACGTGACACGCGGTACCGCTGTTACCTGGAGGGAGGGGACGTCACCCGGCGGGATAGGGTATGCCGCCGGGTCCCCTCCTCTCTCGAGCAACTGTCGGGCTCTCCGTCCTTGAGCGAGTGCCCGACTTTTCAGAGAGGGGTGACACCAAAATGTCAGTCATTTTGATGTCCCCCCTCCAATGGTGTCACCCGGGTGCGGGCCACACCCCCCTTGTGACGCCACTGCTTCATCTCTCCCAGGACCCTGCAATCTCCCGCTGGAAGGACTCTGCAATCCCTTCACTCGGTGGATCACTCTGCCTGGATCTCCCTCAACCAAGCCAACCCAACCAGCTGCAAAGGAGTTGCTTTATTCCCCGTCTTCAGTCCCTTGATGTACCGTTGATTGCTACCAGGCCTGGCGCTACCGCAAGTACAGGGGGTCGGGGAGGGGGTGGGCGCAAAAATGCAACTTTGCCTGTCTAGGCAAAAATCCTAGCACCGGCCCTGATTGCTACCCTGTGAACTGCCGCACAGTGTCCTTGCTGCTGACCCCATTTTTGTTCCTGGAATGCCTTATGATTCTGGACTTAATCGTTGACTACCCCGTATTGTTTGTGGAGTCTCCCAGTCTGTACTACACCTGTAGATTGCGTCCGCTTCTGCATACTAGAATTCCCCAATAAACACCCCGCATGTCGGGTGCCGTGTGATCTCTCTCTGTGCTCTGCGTTGGTAACAGATACCAAATATGTTTGTTTATAAACGATCACACGAAACACACACTTGGATTTAATGTTCATGTTATGTCTATTACTCTTAGGATGTCTTATACGTGTGTTATTAGCCCTCTGGACCTTGTAATAGACGGTAGGTGCGTTTGGTGTCTACATGATTGGAATCTTCTTATACATTTTATGAAGGGATCTCCGTTGCAGTAATATAAGGAACAAACACAATAAAACGACATTATTCTACAATGTGTTTAGAGTCCTTCCTACGTTGTGTGTAGTCCTTTATGTTGCATGTAGCCTTTCTTGATGCTCTGTGTAGAGTCCTTTTTATGTTGTGTGCAGTCCTTTTTTCATGCCGAGCGTGCGGCATTCATTGCTATTACAAATGTTTGGGCTGTTTTAGACTTCCAACGTACCTTGAGAAGCTGGCACGGGGTCTGACCAAAATTACTGATAATTCCTTCCAGCGCTTTCCTCTCCGTCTCATCCGCAATGGCGTCCAGGTCTACCACACCTGAACAGAGGAAATGCTGGTCAGATGCACATAATTCTATCAACTCACATGGCAGTAATTTATTCTCTAGTTTACATGATTCTCTATCAGTCCCTAGACAGGGCAATCAGAATCCATGCCAGTGGCGTAACAATCGCCATAGCGACCCAGGCGGCCGCTATGGGGCCCGGGTACAGGGGGGCCCAGCCAGGGCATCCCTCTGATGCCGTGTGGGCCGCCTGGGTCGCTATGGCATGTAAGGGGTGCTGGCTGTCACTGACAGAGCTCAGCAGCGGCGTTTCCCCTCACAGCCGCTGCGGAGCTGTGTCAGTGACAGCCAGCAGCTACGGAAGAAGCG